AACTATTTTTTTGGTATCAGGGTCATAACTTTCTCCAAACAACTTGTAGATATTTCTAGTCTTTGCAGTTTTTTTACGCAAACTATCTCTTGTAAATCCTGGAAGATTGGTTGTGACTTTGCTATATACTAATCCTCTAGCTTGTTGATTATTGTATCTACTGTTATCATTTTTTATTTCATTAACTCTTTCTTCAAATTTTTTAGCAAACAGATACCAGCATCTTATTTCTTCTTAGTAGACACGAGTTATACATTTTTCTGCCTAGTTTGCATTATAGTATAACTGGAGTAAAGTTATTGGTTTTAATTCTTTGCTCTTATTTCCTCTATCATTATCATCAATTAGCTCACTTGGCATAGATAGTTTTTTTATTAAACCTTGTACTTTATTAGGTTCCATGGATTTTGTTTCACTTCTTGGAATAGCTTTACTATCATCTATAGATAACTTACTTACTACCCCAATAGATTAGAGATTTCTTCACCTTCATCTTCCACTGCCTCTGACATATCTACGTTCTGAACTTCAGCTGATGCTGTTCCTTCATTATCTATGAAACAAATGAAACAAGGTTTTGCTTATCTCTATTACTTTTTTCAAGACAGTCATGATGGAGTATATAACCACACATGAGCATAGTAAATGCTTTGGGTAGATTTAACAAAATTTCTTCATTACATTCATGACAATTCTCTAGCTCCGGTATTGTAATATTACTTGTGAGAGAGTTTGGATTACCTTTTAAGATATTTATTCCTAAAGCTTTTAATAATTCTGCTTGTTTGGAGTATTTTTTGATAAGTTTTTCTTCACTAAGTAGTTCATTACTCATAGTATAGATTACGATGAGTTAATTAATAATGAAAATTTTTCTTATCATTTCATACTTAACTGACTATATATTATTTTTTTACTACTCAGAATTATTTGATAGCTAAAAAATAAATAGATATAATATCTAAATCAATATATTTACCTGAACTTTAACCAGATAAGTCTTTGAAATTTATTATTCATTTATTCTGTTTTATAATATATTTCTATATTAACAAACTAATTTGCAGATTTTATGAAATCTCATTTTGGATTTGGTGATCCATTCATTTATGAATTAATTAGTATGAGTCAGGAGAGTCAAAGTCTCAATCTAAAGAATCATCGCTCGATCTTTACTAGCAAAAAATTTAGCTTAAGGATAAGTATAGTTAGTGAGTTAGTTAATATACATAACTTTACTAAAAAACATCTAATAGGTTTGATTATTTCTAGATAGATTTATTGCAAAGCAGACTCAAAGGAGTGAAGTTGAATTATAGTAAACTAATCTAGATACTCCTATATAAGTTATAGATATTCTCGATTTTAGTTATGGAAGTATTCTCACTAGTTGACTTGGGTATAGGAGCTCGAGTTTCTAGTTCAGACTCTGGATCTAAGTCAAGGTCAGAATCAGAAGTATCATCTTCAGCATAATACTTTCCAGAATTAAAATAGTCTATCTTATATCTCATTGCAATTCTGCTGAGGAATTCAAGATGTTGTGAAGTTAGATTTTGACTACTATGAACTCTAGAGGTATGTTTACCTCTGATTTTTCTTAATCTTTTGGCTGTAATATTATATAGTTTTAAAAATTTACTAAATACTCCTATACTGTGTTTTCTATTAATACTATAGACAGGATTGTGTAACTTTTCAGTTGCTATTGCATCTTGAATTCAGGTAAGCAATTCTTTTGCACATTCTGAATTCTTTTCTATGGATAGAAATTGTCAAGATTCTGAATTATTTTTTGCTTCTCCTTTATTTTTAATATACCTGATACAATACCAAGAATAACTAGGCTTGTACTATTTAGGAGAATTCAATTCATTAGGTTCATAATAGATAATACGAAGAGTGGCAACTTTAGCAGGTCTTATACTCAATATCATAATTATATTTGCAAGATCTTGCATAGTAGCAATTTTAGTAGTATTGATATTTTGAATTCTTCTAAATCCTTCCTTTAAGGAAAAGTGTTTGGGAGTTTTAGGTGAATTGAGTAATCACTATTCGAGTTGCCTTTTTTGAATTTCATTAGAAGCTTGAGTAACTTCTGGTAATTTGGCATATTTATAAATTTGCTCAGAACTAACCTCAGCTTCTGCTAACTCTCTATGAAATTGTAAAATACAAGAACTAGCTACTACAATTGCTTCATCTGTATTATTTTTTGGTATAGCTAAGTTTAAAGCATGTAACCAAATATCCCACACATCTTTAGTTTTTGTATAATATTGAACTCTTTCCTTGATAGTAAGCCTTTTCTTTTTGTTGTTTGGAACCAGAGCTCCTATTTGATTTTCTTTGAATAAGTGCTGATGGAGAGCCTCTTTCATATCTTTATGAGCCTTCCAATCTAGTAACATAGTACTAAGCTCATCGGCATGAACATATAATTGAAGCAATTATTTTTTTTTTTCTTTTGATAGTCATATCATGAACTTTATTAAGTTGTTAACTACAGCTATAACTAAGTTATATATAATTTACAAAATTTACTTAATTTCCTAAGCCTGACATTATCTAGCTACTTCTAGAGTGCTCAGGTGCAACCTGTTGAACTAGCCAAATAGCTAGAATAATTTGTCTAACTAATTCAAAAAAACTCTACTATTCTATATTATCTTCCTTAATTTCTTTATTAACTGTATCCTCCACTAAAGCTATTATTTAACTTTTTTTTCTTCTTTTTTTCTGTTTTTTCTCTATGAGTACCTTTTTCTTTTTTTCATCTGCTCGAGTTCTCACTTTGAAAATTGTCTCTTTGGTTTTGTTCCTTTTAAGCTTCATTATAATTCACAAAATCTATCAAAAACTCTTCTACTTCTCATCCAAGGAATCATCCCAATAAATTGCTATGAGCAAATCAACTCTCGACTAAAAAAAACAACTAATAACTTCCTTATACAACTATCTAACTCTCTACTTATTTGGTTCCAGGACAAAATTTGGAATAT